CTATACTAATACTGAATTTAAAAAAAAATAAATAAATCCATGGTCTATACTTACCTGAGAGGGAAAGCTTTCCTTCAGAGAAGAATGCCAGCCAGTAAATACAAAAAAATAATCATAAAATCACACTTCCCAACCCCAAATGTTCTATTTCAGGTCAGAATCAATAGATCCCAAAACCACTCAGTGAAAAGTTGTTGGGAAACAAGATATTCACATAGTTTTTAAAAAATAACTAATATACAGTCTGCACTTATTGTGATGAGCATCGGGTGTTATATGTAAGTGCTGTATCACTAAATTGTACACTGAAACCAATATTATACTGTATGTTAACAGGAATTTAAATAAAAACTTTAAAAAAAGAATTTGCCATAAGTTAATGTTTCCTTTAAATTTTATATTGGTATCAGAACATAGTTACAGTGTTCAAAAATTTTAATCAGCTTAATTAAAATTTAAAAAGTGTTTAATGCAGTGTAAATATGCAAAACCAAAGGCAATATTTTAAATTAATCTAGGTAGAGGGCTAAGCATTTGGTCAAACAGTGTCCATCAATGATTCAAAGCAGAAATCTTTCTTAAAAAATTTAATATCATACAACAGACATTAGTGAACAATTTCAACCACCACCTACCTACCTTTCTTCCTTCCTTTCTTTCTTCCTTTCGGCCATTTTATTTAGCTCACATGAAAACAGCTTAAAATGCAATACAGTCCTTTAAAAATAAGAACTGATAATCTCTTGGTACTGTATCAACTGCAGTTTAGATTGGTCACCTCTATATTTTTATATTATATTTAGTTTAAGCTACTTACTGAAGAATGGTTCATTAGGGTGTTTTGTATCAATTTCCCCATCTTTTCTCACTGCTTCCCCCACCTCAGACTTCATGTTTTATTGTTAACTGACCCTCTTGCATAGTGAAGATAATATTTCTGATAGAAGTATATGTCCTCAATATAAAGCAAACATATTTTATCACAATCCAATAGGGAAATAATGCAGAAACTGTCAGTCATACAGTAGGAGAGATTACATTATCAAAGTGATACACCTGTGACATATAGTCTAAAACCAAACTCAAAAGACACCAATTAACAGATAGCCTGGTTTATACTGTTACTATGTTGGAAATCATCCCATTCCTACATGAATATGAAACTGGTGATTTAATAGGCTTTTCACTTTTGTAATAATTCTTATCTATTCACTGTCAACAGAATATATATATGAAAATCTTTTAATCTACCTAATCTGAAAGTAATTCTATTCTGTTATCTATTGAAAGTCATACCTAATATTTGTACTATTTCTTTACTGTCACCATAACATACTTCTAGGGTGTCATATTGAAAAGACAGGCTCAAAGTCAATTCAGATGTTTTCTCTTGTGTTCTTAATGAAGAAATTCATTTTAGACAGTTTTAGGTTTCTACAAAAACAAACCTATATACAAAGAAAAAACAGCTAAGTTTGGAATAGTTAGAGACAGAACATGCTCTTAGTGTTAATACTGTCTATTTTACCAGAAAATAGTTTAAAAAATCTTTAAAATCACTACAATTCTAAAAATTATTCCCCATGAGTCCTGCATCCTATTTCTATATTCATGAAAAATAAAGATATATTAACTATTATGTGTGTGCATTCTAATAACTTTAAATAAAAATATTACAGAAAGTTATTTAATGGATTATATATTTTATATAAAGAATAAATATAAAGCATTCAATGAATGCTGACTATTAATATAGCTATTCTTTTACATATCGTTCTATTTTCCTTTAGAGCAAATCTAAGGAGAGTTGGTTAAGGATGTACCTCAAACACCTCAATATAAAGGTTATCCCTACTATCTTTGATACTAATACCAAGTACAACACTTTCATGTGATATGGTATTTTTAAACATTTTGAGTAAGTATCCTCTACAAATATATTTTGAGCATTTTGTTCACTAAAAGGCAATATAAAATCAAAGATTTGTAATCTTAGGCACAGAAATTCAATTAATTTCAAAAATAGAGTATACAGAATGTTTGTACATCAAAAACCAATTCACCCTGCCCTTTCCACAACAAATTCAACTGCTCTGTAATATCTAAATCTATTTCAAACAAGCTTATTTCCCCTTATATCTTTCATTCTTTTCTATAATTCCAGGAGACTTGCATCTTATACCTCATAGTTTTATCCACAAGCCATTAATCCTATTTAACCTTTAAGATCAAGACCAAGCAAGTCTTACCTACCCCTGAAGCCTTTCAGACAGAACTCAGTATGAAATGTTATTGTTATGCTCTGAATTCCTGCAGTCCTTGTTAGATATGCAATCTCTTATTGTGATGGGTTGTTAACTCTGTTCAAGCATGTGCATCAGATTTGTCCCAATTGGAGGGTAAGCTCCTGAAGGGCAGGGAGCAAGAAGTCTTAGGTTCCTCCACAATGCCTAGATAGTACATGGCACATGACAGCCCTTTATTATGAGTACTATGCTGAGTAATAAAACGCAATGAAGAGCTGAATAACAATAAAAAATAAAAAGTTTTTCATTTTCTACTGAGTTTCATGTAAATTAATATTCTATAGTATAAATAATACATACTTTAAAGTAGTAAACAGTTACTGATTCTCTGACCGTGTCAAAGAACAAAATATTCGTAGATATGACTTCTTTATGATTGTGGTAATACAATTCATCAAGTACATTTTTAAATTTCCCATTATATCTCCAATCCAATGATTCAGGAAAGTTAAGGTAGCAAACCTCAGAGTGGGGGTCTCAGTCTAAGTCCTAATGTAAAATACAAAACTACACATGCTCCAATGTTGAAAGTGTATCTTATTTTCTTAAGTAATCTCTACACCCAAATGGGTCTGGAACTCACCACCCGAAGAAATCAAAAGTCGCATGCTCTACTGACTGAGCCGGCCAGGCGCTAGGAAACTGTATTTTAAACCAATATGAATCTAACTAAATCAAAATAACAAATCCTTAACTCTACTTGGTCTCAAAATGAACAGGACAGTTAAGGAAAGCTACTTTCACACTGAAAACAAAAACAACAATCAACAATTGACATGTTTTGATCAAAGTACTGAGCTCCTTAATTAATACCAAACGAAGACAAATCACTCTGACAATAGGTTGACCACTTCTCTTTCTTCTCTGTGAAATTAATAAAGGAGTGGTTGGAATTTCAACGTTTTAAAAACACTGTGCTTGGCAGGCCCTTCCAGACATTCCAATTTAAAATAATAAAGATCCTGTTGTACTCTCTCAGTCACAACCCAGTCCTAGGTTACTACTTCTAAGAACAAATTTGCTAAAGCATAACTGGTAGACACTGTCCCAAGTCATCTCTAAGCTTCAAGTTTTGTCTTCGGAATTTGTACCTGTTATAAAGCAAACAGAAAAAGAAACCGAAAGAAATTGTGTTGCAGCCTAGATTAATAGTATTTTAGGTCTTTCCTTAATAGTTCTTAATTAGTAGTAATCGATATAAACTCACCTAGGTGTCTTGCTTCTCTTTCCTCCCCAAGGCCTTTAATAAAACCAGCTTTATAGTAAAACGTGTGTGCATTATTTTTAATAGCCTTTCTTGGGGGTAGAATTGGGAGAATACGTGTTACATTTCAATGGGGAGGTATTCAACTGTAAAATATGAAAAATGAAAGCTACTGAAACCAAGTAGGTACTTTGTGTCTTGTGGGTCCTATTGATTGGCCTTAAGATGTAAGAGAAGTGGAGAACAAGTACATAAAAACATTAAAAGGCAAGAGATCAGTGTCTTCTAAGAAACATTTCTTCCTACCTGTAAAAAGACAAGTGCTTTCTGACTTCATTGCATATTCCAGATCCCACGAGAGGGAGAAAAAAAGCAGAATTGCTTCTAATTCTGAGAAAGAAGTGGAGAAATGCGAGAGAGGAAGAGAGAAATGAAAGAGGGAAGACGAGAAGGAGAGAGGGAGGGGGAGGGACAGAGAGAGAGAGCAGCTCAGTATACACTGAAGGAAACCCCGAGAAATTTCACAACTCTTTGCCATAAATAGCCTTTCTTCTCACTCTGGATACCTCCTCCTTTACATCAGCAAGCTCAGCCTCCACGAGCAGAGAAGCACCATTCACAAATCCCTCCGTCACCCCTTCGCGCAACCCTACCCCTTGATGGCACCGCCTGTACGAGTCCCTGGGACACAAGCCAAAAGCTGAGGGGGCCCCAGGGTTTCACCTCAAGGCTGATTATCTTTTCAGGTGAGCCAAAGCATTGATTAGTCATGAGCGCGAACGCACACGAATGAGCGTGCACACACACACACACACACCCCTCCCTGGAGCCCTTGACGCGCCACCACAAAGCAATTTGTTCACACTAAGTCGCTGCCGTTCCTGCCGCCGCTGGGGAGGGTCTCGCCTCCAATCCAGGAAGCTAGCGCCTGAGGACCAGCAGGCGGACGCAAGAGGCGGTCCCGGCTCGGGCACTGCGGCTCCACCGGGAGCCCCGGGCTCCCCGCCCCCCCTTCCTCCTCCTCGCCGCCGCCCCCGCCCCGGCGCCCGCAGCACCGGGCGCCAGCGCTGGCCGACCGCCCCTACCTGCGGGACACGAGCGGTGAGGGAGGGGAGCGGCCCGGAACCTGCGCCAACTCTTGCCTCTGGCCGGCCACGCTCCGCTTCGCCCTGGAGCTGCGGCCGCGGCCACCCGGAGCAGAGCGCTCAGGAGCGCGGAGGAAAAGGCCACGCCGCGCGCGGGGAATCGCGGGCCGGCAGCGAGCGGGCCCGTCCCCCCGCCCACCCTGCCCGCAAGGCCAGGTCTCCGCGCGGCGCACGCCGGGCCCGCTGCTAGCGCCCCGGGCCTGGGCGGGGGCTGCTCCAGGGCGACCCGGGCACGGCGCGGTCACCTGCCGGGCAGTCACCCCTCGTCCGCCGGGGTCTGGCCCCGGCGCAGCGGCGACGCAACGCGCGACCCTCCGGGCGCGGGGGCACCGGGGGCGTTACTACCTTGAAGGGCTCCGCGCCGCTTGTTAAGGCTCCTCCCGGGCACTCAGAAATTTATGTCTTCGGGGCACGGGGGTGTCTTTCCTGGTCCCTTCCTCTGCCCTCCCTCCCCTTCTCGGCTGTTGGGCTCCTTTTCTCCACTCCCAGTTGCACAGAGTCGAGCTGCGTTTTTTAATAATCCTCCTTCTCCTCCTGCCTGCGCCAGCAGAGCTGCTCTGCCTGAGCCACCGCTTCCCAGTCAGTCATGTTGAGAGAAGGAGAGAGAGAGAGAGAGACACGGATTGGCAGTCGGTCGGCGACTATTTGTGGTGAGAGAGAGAAGAGCAGAGCAAGAGGAGGGCAGGGGAGGGACGTGGGGAGGCGCTTCCAAGTATGTGAGTGCGCGGAGTGTGACTGTGTGAGGAGCGTCGGATCCACCTCCACGGCAGGCCGCGCTCCCCGACTGTGAAGGAGGGCGGCGGCGAGCGCGGCCTTTATAGGGAGTGGGGTGGGGGGAGAGTTCCTGAGTGGGGGAAGGGGGGAGGCTTCGAGGGCGGTGCCCAGCCAACTGCGTCTGCTGGTTGCCACGCGCGCATACTCATACATTAACGCGCGCACACCCAGGGCTGGCCCGTTGCTGAGTTTTCAAGGGAAGCCGTTTCCGACCGCGCTGACTTGGCTTTCCCCTAGCCCATCCTTGTGCGTGTGTGGAGTCCAAGTGCTTTGGTAGTTCAAAACAGAAGACGGGGAGTCTAAAGCAGTGCGAAAAGACCTCGGGGATGCTGAAAATGCACTGTATCTTTTCTCTCCAAACCACCAATGTTACCTTCTTTCTCTTCCACCTCTCAGCGAGGAAACTGTGGGGTTCTTTCCCCCTTTTTCCTTCTCACCCAATGTATTCATATACTAACATGTCTCTTCCCTCCATGGCAGCAAGGAAAGAAACCTGGCTTCTTTCCTCTAACCAAGTCACACTTCCCAGGAACCATTTACAGCAATCAGTTCTGTAGGATAATAGAAGCATTAGGACTGTGACCTGGAGTGGAACTTGTGTTCCTACACCTAAGGTCCTCGACCACATGGTAATTATAAACAGAAGCAGCTACCATTTTGATATCATTTGACTGATGGCCCCTGAAGTAAATGTTGCAGCTTAGAGATGGGGAAGACTTCAGATGCATGGTGCTATTGCTTACCTGATTTATTTGTCCTGATTCTCTCTCCCGTTGTATTGCCTCATTTCCTTTCAGGTTTGCACTGGGTCCTGAACTCTTTCCCATCCATCCCCTTCTTTATATACACTCCAATATATTTATGTCTAGCAGGCAATACAGCAGATGGAGTGCATTTAACTGTGGGGCGGGGGGACATTTTTTAACCCATTCTGGTGCCATGTCGGATCATTTCTAGATAGATAATTCATCTCCAGTGTTAAGTTCGTACACCTGACATCACCTCCCTAACTAGCCTTCTGTGCACTTTGTGATCTGGTGCACTACTGTGTTGAGAAACAGTTTCTAGGAATCTAATCTAACTGGCCACAATCTGCTGAAATGTGAATGTATTGGGTGTAAAAGCAAGGTGTGCTTTTTGAATATTAGTGGTTGATGTGTATTTTGGCATGGATACAGCCCTGATTTGGGGTGACAGCTATGGAAGATTCTTTTTTTCATAAATGTGACAAAAGAAAGGAACATTTCAGTAGCTGGGGGGGAGGTGGAAAGGTTGATAACTAGTCTCTCCTTAGTAGTTCATGGCCATTGCTATGTTCACACGTTTTTTTTTTTTCCAAATGCTTACCCATTATGTATTCTCCATGTTACCGTTTTCACTCTGATTTTCCTTTCCCCTAGTTTCTTCATGCCTCATACAAAGAGTTTAGAGTCTGTTAAAGTACATTAAAAGTGGCTTAAGCATATAATCGAGAAAAAGCAGCAAGGCTGGGACCAGTGGACAAATATATCAATAACATATAAATACAGGACATTTTAGCTCCTTTGATTAAGCATTGAAAAATACATGTACTAACAAAGGATGTTGGGATTTAACGTGTACATGTCCTTTGAAAAAAAGCTATTATAATTTCTTCAATTTTACAGACCAGGAAAGTCATATTTGGGGAGGGTAGGTAGTTAACGTTAGGTCACATACAGGTTAATCTATGCAATTGGAGCTCAACTTACTCTACTCCCATTCAGAACCCCTGGTTTAGTTGAAAGTCTTAACAGTTTCTTTAGCTTTTAGATAATTATGAAATAAGCTGATCCATAATCCTGTGGCATTTTCCTTCCATCTCCCTCCTACTTTTTCCAGTACAAGAAGGGATTATAAAATATTTATTTTTTAGAGTTAGGCAAGGATTTAAAAATCTTTAGTTGGACTTATAGATGAAAAATGTTAGGAAACTTTTCTCCAAAGTCCTTACTAAAGGAATCCCTCTATCACCGCAGAAGAAAATTCTGTAGAAGAGATATTCCTGATCTGAAAATTTGCACTCTGCCAGTAAATATGTGGGTTTTGTAAAAGATGCAAATAGACATTTTTCAAAAAAGTTATTTCCCCTTTAAGAACAATGCTCAATAATATTGGGCAAGTTTATGGTGCTTTTTTGTCCCAGGTCTCTATTTAATAAATTGTCATCAATAATGATAATTTAATAGTGACTCTATAGTGCATACTTTTAAAATTATACATTTGACTAGATATTTCAAGGGCATTTTTGGTAACCACAACTGATTGTAATTTTCACACTCTCAATTGCATTCATAATTAGTGAGAACCATGACAATCTGTCAATTGCCTTTATTCATTAAGGTATTAAAGAAGCCAACATTTCTCTCTTAATCTTCTAACAATTTTGCTTCCGACATAAAGTCTAGAATTCATATACACTACACCAGAAAGACATATGAAAATATACAACCTAAAACACTTCTGAAAAGTTGATTCATTTAACTATTTTGTTTTTTTTTTTTTGAAAAAAAATCTGTGCTGGAAACCGCATTTATAAATTCTAATGAACAACATTTCAGAAGTAAATGAATTATTCTCTTTCAAGATGATTTAATGTTTCGAGTAGAATTTCCCACTTTGCTACACTTTGAATGATACAGTTTTTGTTGTGATAGGAAAACAGAAAGTTAATGACTCTTTCCAATTTGTTCATTTTCATCTCTATGCTTGCTGCTGTTTGGTTCCCAAGTGCATATAACTGGCAAGTTCAATGAAGATTTGGCATTGCACCATTTGATGAAAGCAGAAAAATTAGGTTGCCAATTACATATGTGCCCCTTATGTGCACTGAATTCCCACTGAATGAAGTGATGAGCCAAATTAGAAATCCTTCAGTAATGGTACCTAAAAAGTGAAATTAGTGTCTAGGGAAGGTAAGGAGATAATTTTTCTTTACAATACTATTACTATAATGAAATGTATAAGGTGTTTTAGAAAGTCAATTAACTATAAAAATATTTGCAAGCAATATATAGATGAAGTATCAGAAAATAAATTTAAAACTTGCATTTCCTTTTTGCTGTCCTAGCTATTTTATCACCCTTTGATTTACTTCAGACCCTATCATAATTGTCCAATCTTTATGAAGAAAGGTAAAGGCCACTTCTTGCTTTAGCTTAATAGAATAAAATAAATGAAAAAAGAATTAAGTGCAAATTTGTTATTAACATTCTGAATTTCTCTCATATTGCTAAAAGGTAAATTATCCTTTTGTGATACTCTTGTAACATGAAAGTGGCATTATAAGTACCGTAGAGCAAGAAGCTTTTAATGGAGATTAAAGCTGAAACTTGCACTTGGCTCGAGATCAAGGACTGATGAGAAGTGTACGATAGAAGACAGAAGGATTGACCCAATTGTAGTTAAGGGTCCAGAAAGCACAGGAAAAACTCAACTTTAATATGGTATTAATTGGGGCAACCTCCAGGTAGATGGAGCACAGTAGACAAAAATTTAAATAGAATTATCTTTTAGAAATCTGGTAATGGTGACGCATACCTGGTAAATTGTCTTTTTGCTGCAGAAATCCTGCCTGGTACCAGAACCACAGGGTCTGTTCATGTTCTTCCTCTGTGAAGGAAACTAAAAGGCCAGCCAGGTCAACTGACCAGGATTTCAGAGAAGAATCCTTGGCAAAAGCTAAGCCCAGATGAATGGGTTATAATCAAAGACAGCTTTGAACTTTGATCTTTGAACTACACAGACACCAAGGATCCATTCCACAGGCAAACGTGATAGCAGGACTACTCAGGTAAATGTATACCACCCACTGTCCTTGTCACTGGGCTACCATGTCCCAGGTTTACAAAGTGAACCAAATTCTAAGCCCATTTAACGGTCTGAGAGATGGTAAGCCGAGGGTGTGGAGAGGCATCACTTACCCAGCAACTGAGGTAGTCCTGACTTTCCAGGGGAGACTATCCAGTTTAGGAAGCTGAAAAAAAGGGCACCTGGGTGGCTCAGATAGTTAAGCGTCTGCCTTCAGCTCAGTTCATGATCTCCATGTCCTGGGATTGAGCCCCATGTCCGGGCTCCCAGCTCAGCAGGGAGTCTGCTTCTCCCTCTGCCTCTACCTCTCCCACTGCTTGTGCTCTCTCTGTCTCTCTCCCTTTCAAATGAATAAATAAAATCATTAAAAAAGAAAAAATAGAAAGCTGAAAAAAGTTGAAGTTGTCACACGAGGCAAGAACTGACATCAACATTAATGGTCTCTGAATTTATGCCTCTATTTTTTAAAAAGGGGAGGTAAACTGTATTAAAAATAATGTTTATCAACATAAAACCAAATGAATTTTTATAAGCAAATTCACCAGTAGGCACTTTTCCTTTCACATAATTTCCTTCTTTTTGTTTATACATTCAGATGTGATTAATGAGGTCTTTTGGAATATGACTTCGGGATTTCTCACCTTCACATGAGGTAATTTTCATGTTCAAATACTTTTTTTTTCTGACTGCAATATTACAAAAAAATATTTAACCCAATTAATCGGTTCATTTTTTGATGTCTCTATGGGTTACAACTATGAAAGTGATTCTTTTCTTGAACTTTTGAATTGTTTATTATGATTATACCCAGGCATCTATGTGTTTGTTGGCATTTTACTAAAAGAAATAGAACCTGACACATTTTTTTAGAAAAATAATCAGTTAAATCATCTCTAAAAATAGTGTGTTGATAAAATCTGAAACTATAACAATAAATCTATAAATCATATAAATAGACCTAATAAAAATAATAATAGAAGAAATGTAACAAAGTTGTAATAGTACTTTTGTACTACTTAGGTATATAGTAAAAACAGACAATGCAAATAAAATAATCTAAACCTTGTTAAACCAGTATTTAAGCAGGTTGGAAACTGGTCTTACCATCTGTCAGTTTCTATACTGGCAGTTTCACAAATGAGATCTCTCTTTAACAAAACATCACAGCAGGAGATACAGACATGTGAATTGTAATTAAAATGTGAAAAATGCTTTTCCTAGTTTCTGTCATTTGTATAAAGCTACTCTTATGTTGTGAAGTTCTAGACATATGGAATTATGCAAAATGAAAGTCATTTTTATTTTGCCAAATCTATACATTGTTTGACCAAAACTTTTACTTCAGTAATAACTGTACATGCTATCATGAATTAAAGTGTTTTTTTTCCTTATGTCTGGTTCACTCAGTAATGAGATTCAATTATTTTTAATCATCCAAATGTAGAAGATGAAGAGAAATAATTTGTATGTTTTTATGCATCTAGATCTGCTTAGAACTAATTTTATTGCTTTGTAATACTTACTTACCATTATATTATGTAAATAAAAATAATATTGAATTTTATTCACTTTCTGGAAAAAAATAAACCTAAATAAGATGAATTTTCAGTCCCCATCTTCAACATCTTGGATGTTTTCTAGAAATTTAAGTTAATGTTAAAGATAGCAAGTATTCTTGACCTTTGTCATTATGGGATTTATTATGTGCATGTGTATTGTATATCCAAACCCATTCACATCCTAAACCTACTACTTGGGGTATAACAATGCACTGTCTTCACTTCCAACTTTTCCTCCAAATGTTAACATTTTAACCAACAAGATGGGTATTGAGATAGGAGTGAGTTATTAAATCAGCATGTAATTGTTTCAAGTATGGCTGTCACAAAATGTCCTATCCCATATGTACCTCTTACAATGAGATGTTGAAATCATTCTGAGTGGTAAGAATTATGTCCCTTCTCCTTGAACCTGAGTCAGTTTCACCAATAGAGTAAAAATAATGTTATGTAATTTCCTATGGCAAGTCACAAAATTGCCATTCACTTTCTCCTTGTTCTCTTGAGACAATTGCTCTTGGAACCTAGTCACTTGCTATAGAGACTATGTAAAGACCCACATGGAAAAGAACTGATGCCTCCAGCCCCTGGCACCATCTGACAGACTCCACAGGCACCCAGTACCAAATTGTAAGCCACATAAGTAAGCCATCTTGGAAGTAGACCCTCCAGCTTCAAATCTAACCACTCCAGCCAGCCATGTGGAGCAAAGACAGGCTGTAGTCATTTTTTTACTGCTGCATAATGAATTTGCCACATAGTGGCTTAAAATAAAATTCAGTTTATTAGATCACAGTTCTGTGGGTCAGATTCTTGCAAGATGTGGCTAATTCTGTGTTCAGTATCACAAGCCTGAAATCAAGGTGTTAACCAGGCTGAGTTCTTATCTGGAGGATCCGGGGTACAAATAAGCTTCCAACTCTTTCTGGTTGTTGGCAAAATTCAGATCTTACAGTTGCAGTATGAAGGTCTCTGTTTCCCTGACACATGGCTGCTTTCTCCTTCAAGCCAGTAACAGCAGCTTTGATCTTTCTCATACTTCAAATCTTTAACTTTGTCTTCTTCTCCCAACCAGAGAAAATTCTCCGACTAGACTCTAAGCCAATGGTGGGCTCATGACTGATTTATTCCTCATTATATTCCCAGTGCCCAGTTGAAGCAAAATATTTATGTGTGCTCAAGGGAGAAAAGGGGTGGTACATATGACTGATGATTTACTCTCTTTATCATTTCTTGAAAATTATATGTAATGGAGAAGGCTTCTCGTTCATTATTCCTTCAAGAGCCTTTATTTTCCTCCAAACTATTGAAAGTCTTTCATCTTTGAACATCTTTCGTATAGAAAGCTCCATTGTGGAGGGTCCTTCTGCATGTCACTATCTGCATATGACATGTAATGTTGAGGTTGGAGTGGTGAGAGACAGATGTAAGTAGAGACTGTCTTTTGGAAGTCCAATTTATCTTGAGGATTCCACTTTGTCCCAGCCAACTCCCCATCCACACAGCTTTTCTTCCCAGTTCTGTTGCTCTCAGTGACTTAAAAAGTGCAGTGGCACTGGACTTCCATAGACTTTTAAGCTCCCACAACTGCATAAGATCTAATCCCCATAATAAATCCCTTAGTCCATATTACTCATATTACTTCTGCTTCTCTGATGAAATACATACTTACAAGGATATATTTTGTGGAAAGAATCAAAAGACTACTGAGGATTAGATGTGGATGGTGAGGAAAGGAAAGAGTCAAAGATGACTAAACCATAAATTAACATAATTTTGGTGATTTCCTCCTTTTTTAAAACATTTCTTCCATTTGGCTTGCGAGACACCACAGTCCCCTGTTTTTATTCCAAACTCTCTCCCTATACATTTTCAGTCTCCTCTGCTGGATTCAGCTTACCCCCATGACCTCTACATCTGGAGTGTTCCAAGACTCAAGACTTAAATTTCTGTTTTCTATTTATACCCACTCTTTTGATGAGCTCATTTAGACTTGGAGTTTTGGTGCCATCAGAATGCTGATGACATCCAAGTTTCTATATCCAGCCCTGAACTCCTAATTCATGTCTACCTGCCCACTTGGCATTCCTGCTTCTATATAGAAACATCTCAAGCTTAACATATACAAAGCCTTCTGGATTCCTCTCAACACCTCTTCTGTACGTAGTCTTCCCTATCTCAATGTCCACTCTATTCTTCTGATTGTGTTACAGGTGTTTGGGTCATTCTTTGTTTCTCTTTTTCTTTTACAATGCACAGCTAATGTGTCAGCACATCCTGTTGGCGTTATCTTCACATTATATAGAGTATTCAACCATTTCTCCAAACTTCCACTGCTATGACCCAGTTTAAGCCACCATCATGTTTCACTTGGGTTATTGTGATAGCATTCTAAATCTACATCTACCTTTGTCCCTCACAGTAATATTATCAACACAGTAAGCAACATTATCATGGTAAAATCTAAGTCAGATCATGCCACTCTTCTGTTCAAAATTCTCCGATGGCATTTTACCCCATTCAGAGTAAAAGTTGTTAGAAAGGTCTACAGGCCCTGCATTTCATAATACCCCTCCCACATCACCACTATTTGCTGTTGCATTTCCCTCTGTGAATTTAATTCCTGGATATGTGCAGGAGTCCCTTCTTTCAGACTTTGCTCAAATGTCACTTCAGTGAAGCCGTCGCTGGCTATTTTATCTAAAACAGTAATTCCACCACACACACATGTTTGCATCCACTTCTGAGCCCCCTTACTTGTTTTATTTTTCCTTAGCACTTATCCCTATCTAAAACAGTGTATAGGGGCACCTGGGTGGCTCAGTCAGTTAAGCATCTGCTTTTAGCTCAGATCATGATCCTGAGGTCCTGGGATCAAGTCCTCCCTGCTCAGCAGGGAGCCTGCTTCTCCTTCTACCCCTCCCCACGCTCGTGTTTATGCTCTCTCTCTCTCTATCAAAAATAAATAAGTAAAATATTAAAAAAATAAAAGTGTATATTTTAAATCTTTATTCTTGTTTATTGTCTGTTTTCCCACTAATACAAAAGATAATGAGGACAGGGATATTTCTGTACCCACCCCTGTGCCTAGAGGAGTGCCTTGTACATAGTGAACCTCAATAGTATCTCTTAAATGAATAATGAATCACTGAATCAAACACAAGACCATATATTCAATGATAGAGGCACATACAAGAAGTGCAACAAGGGCATAAGAGGGTTTCAACACTATCTTCACTGACTTTTCTGAAAAACAAGCAAATTCTTGCCATTTTGTACAAACTTTTACAAAAGTTTTTCTGTATTTTTTCTAATTTCAGGATTTATGAGGCATGTGGTAATTGAGAAATGTGTCTTCATGGTGATTCTAAAAGCAGATGGCATTCATTCATTTATTCATTCAGTCCACAAATATTTACTGAGCGTCTACGATGTGCCAGGAGCTAAATACAAAGGTGAATAATAAGTGTTCACAAATTTTAGTTAAGCATTGGCAATATGCTAGGTAGAGTGTTAAACTATGGAGATAGAGAAGTAAAAGATATAGTCCAGACAGCTGATAATCTAATAGGAAAGATGAATAAATAAAGAGATAATTACCAAGCTGTGTGATGAGGGCTACAATAAAGGCAAAACAGGATTTTAAAAATTATATACTGAGGTATAAACAACCCAAACTTAAGGCATAGGTTGTCAAGGAACGATTTTTATCAGATGTTATATCTGGCTTGAGTTCTAAAATATATATCATGCGGGTGCCTGGGTGGCTCAGATGGTTAAGCGTCTGCCTTCGGCTCAGGTCATGATCCCAGAGTCCTGGGATCGAGTCCCGCATTGGGCTCCTTGCTCCTTGGGAGCCTACTTCTCCCTCTGCCTCTCTCTCTCTCTCTCTCTGTCTCTCATGAATAAATAAATTTAAAAAATCTAAAAAAATAAATAAATAAATAAAATAAAATATATATCATGCTTGACTATATAAACTTTGTTAGATAAGTGGCAACAAAATATTTCATTCTTTGAGTTTAATAAATATTGTTGATTTTTACTATTCAAATAATCTTGGGCTAGGGAATATTATTTTACTAAACATTAAATTTATAAAACTATTTTTATTCAATTTAATTAACATGGTATTATGTTAATTTCAATATGATTCAATAATTCTATATACGAAACTATTTTTAATCTACACATTTTATTTTTTTATTTTTATAGTTGAAATAAGATGAGATTGCTAACTCAAAGTCTTAAATGTTTTTCCAGATTCACATGGACATAATGGAAAATACTTAGGCCACCTATGTACTTGAGAATCTCTGTTCATGAAGAATAACACAGTGGACACATATTCCTGAGAACCGTAACAATGAAAAATTACAAGAGCATTGTGTGTTGGAAAAGTTGTTTGAGTTCTGTGTTTGGTGCATACCCTGTGGCTACTACTTAGGGAACACACCAATCAGAAATAGACGGGAAGAACAATCACAAGTTTAAATTGAATCAAGAGAGTCTTCCTGAACTCAAATGGTTACGCTAATATGCATATTTCACTCAATATTTTTATATGTCATAAATTTTTTGAGGCAGTTCTATTTTTATATCCTGCATAAATGACAGCCTCAAAATATAGGTCAGGGTGTTACTAACTGCTTAGAGCAAGTACACACTCAGGAAATTTCTTTTCCTAAAGATCTAGCTTATGAAAGATAGATGATTGGACTTTTTGAAATTTAGATGCAAAGTTATAAAATATCTAAAAGTCTATATCTTATAGATATATAAGCATTGGCTGTAAACAATGAGGATCTGCCTAAAAATAATTCATAGCTAAAATTTTAAGGATTATACATTAACTTAGATCTTTTAGAAATATCAGATCATATAGCTATAGGATTAGATTACCTATAAAAAGTAATGTTTTCCTTGTAATTATAATGTCCAGATTAATACTGCATTATTTGCAATAACATGACTCACCTGCTTTTCCAAGTCAGAGCATGAGACTGTGATTTTTATGTTATCCGTTCAATTTGGTATTTTCCTTCTAATGAAGGCACATTCTGGGAATGTGAACACACATTCACTGTGTTAATGTTCAGTGTTCTAGAAAAAGTATGCCTAGAGCCTCACTGGTTAACTACTTGAAAAAAAATTTAAGGGAAACCTATGTGCTGAAGCATATAGAATGTGCTACCATATTAAATATATGTTGATTAAAACAAATTTAAAAAGAGAGTGGTTTTATATCTTTAGGGCAATAGCAAGTTATGCCTCAACAATCTGCATGAATTTATGTCCCTGAACATTCTTCCACTCAATACTCTGTAAAAACTCACCCTTACATTTTTGAGAGACAGAGCTCACCTAGTTTTTTTTCTTAACTGTTAAAAATGTTAAGATGTTTATAGCTATTTAATTCAGGTAACTGCAGGTATTTAATTTTTTTGCAGGAAATATAGCAGTACACAAATATCTCTACATAATACTTTTCAGAGGAAAGTTTTCCTTGCTTTTAAAAAAATAGCAAATGTTTTTAAAGGCAAGTAAAATATCTCTCCTTTGTTTTCTATACCTTCAATAATTTCTTTTCTTTCTTCCTCTCTTCTTCTTGCTACTCCTTTTTCTTTTCTTCTCCTTGTTACCATCCCTCCCACTCCGCTTTCTTTTTCTTATTTACTATAATCACAGTGGCTACCTTCCACAGAGGCCTTACTCACATGGTAGATACTGTGTTATTTCTTCAAATGTCTTCATCAAAATGGATACATTTTGAAACATAACCAAGCACAAGATGGACTACTCTCTTACTAACTCCTTGATTGAGTTAAGCATGTAACTCCATTTTTAAAAATTAAGCTACCAGTCGAATACATTATTTCCAGCATCCGGGAGCCTGCCTCCAGATCTTTAGACCAGTGTTCCATAGGATGGTATCTGGCAGAGTTTTTCAGGGAATATATATACGCTGGTTAGGCAGTGTGCTAATGGCATCCTAGAAGTAGGGTCACCATTGAATTCTTTTCCTTCACATTCTTCTATATTCATAAACTAGCCTTGCTCAAAAGAGAAGAAGTATGATTAGGTGGTGCACATCTCACTTCAAAAAAAACAAAATAAGAAAAACTAAAAACTGAGGGGAAAAATCATACAACTGACTATTGCTTAAATAGAAGATATATCTTATAAAAAAGAAAAATATGGTCCTACAGTGTAAATAAGAAAAACATATATGGACATAACTTACCCAATAAAAGGCCATAAAATGTAATGATTAAGATCACTGGCTTTTCAGGTTGCACAGAACTGACATCAGTCCTTGCTCCACATTTTACTAGCAGAGCAAGTTTGGGTAAGTTACTTAACTTTGCTAGTTCTTAATTCCCACATATAGGAAATGATGGTTGTAATAGTATTTACCATCACTGGGTGTTTAAGGGAATTAAATAAGAGAGCATGGTAATGTTCAGCACAGTACCTGCCCAAGTATGCAGTATATGGTATCTATTGTTATTAATTTGCACCAAAGCCATATTGCTAAATCAGCGAATATATAAATTCTTCCAACTTACTGTGCAACTAAATACATATAAAAATAACTCCAGATTACCCTCTGTAATTGAAATAAGTGTTGAAAACATGAATTACTTTTTTTTTTTTTTTGGAATTGGCCAGCATATAGCTAGCTTCATTTTCCAAACGTAACATCTATTAAGAAGTAGCATGTTTCCCAGTGGTCAACAAATACTTAATGGAACACTCAAGATTTGTCAATCTCTATCCTAAGACCAGGCTAGATACAAAACAATGGACAAGGAAGGCGGGGTTCTTGCTTTCCTGGAGTTCATTTTTTAGTAGGTAGAAGAATGCTATAGGGCAGGAAAACAGAAAGATAACAAATGGGTAAATAAATACATAAGATAATTTCATGAAATGATAAATGCTATGAGGGCAAGAAATCAAAACGATACTCTTGTACTCGGTTGGCTGACTTCTTTGCTTTGGGTATGTCAGGAGAGGACTCTCTGTGAAAGTATATTTAAATTGAGGTCTGAATAACAAGGAGGAGCCGGCTACAGCCAGCTCAAAGACCCTGAGGTGGGAACAAGTTTGCTATATTCCTTTGTAGGAGGAACAGAAACAAGGCCAATATGTTTGGACCTTAGTGCTTTAGGGGAAAAAATGATGCTCAATTTATTTTATGCTTCCATTTGTTTTTCCTTTTTTGGATCAGTGACCACTTTCCATTTAGTTGACATATTTATTCTTGATGTTAGAACAAAAACATTTTTTCCAATCCAAGATATTTACAATGTCCCAGCGTACGTCCATGGTGTACTCTTGACATTATTAGCAAAATTGGAAAATTCCACAGGATGTATATGTTAGAGGAAAGGAGGGGATTATTCTCCGGTTTTTATAAAGAAAAGAAAATATTGTTCCATAAAACTGAAAGAGTTTATTTGATAACTAATAATTCTCCATCTCATTTGTAAGTTTTAGTGAACCTATTTCCATCTGTAGTAACTGAGATGCAAAGTGGGGGAAAAGAACACAGGGCTGTAGTATCCTCAGCCCACCAGCATGCAAATCATTTAGCATTGCACCACTATGCTGAAGCTTTCACTGCCAGGGATCCCTGAGCAAATCATTTCCATTACTAGTCTGTTCTAATAACCCCTCTGCTGATTCAGCTACCTGAATGTAAATATCATAGAAATGACTGGGAAATAAAAGCCTATTTGAAACAGTGAAAAGGGATCTAAAAGAAAATGCTTCCTACATAGGCCTTCATTTTCATAACTCTTTATTTAAAAATCTGCTTATCATAGATAAAGGCTTTTGACTCTATTTGAAGCCAATAGAAAAAAAAAATTCCTTTTTCACATATCAATACGTTGCTTTTAAAGCTCCCTATCTTACATTGGGGAGGGTATGTGCTACGGTGAGCGCTGTGAATTGTGCAAGACTGTTGAATCACAGATCTGTACTTCTGAAACAAATAACGCAACATATTTTAAGAAAAAAGGAAAAGAAGAAGATAACAGGAGAGGAAGAAAAGGGGAGTATGTCAGAGGGGGAGACGAACCATGAGAGATGATGGACTCTGAAAAACAAACTGAGGGTTCTAGAGGGGAGGAGGGTAGGGGGATGGGTTAGCCTGGTGATGGGTATTGAGGAGGGCACGTTCTGCATGGAGCACTGGGTGTTATGAACAAACAATGAATCATGGAACACTGCATCAAAAACTAATGATGTAATATATGGTGGTTAACATAACAATAAAAAATTTAAAAAAAACTAATGATGTAATGTATGGTGATTAACATAACATAATAAAATAAAGCTCCCTATCTTAAATGGCAACTATTTCACCCATACTAATACAATACATACAGAAAGGCTTCTAATTCTTTATATATGTATATATATTTACTCCAAATAAAATTGCCACAAATACTAAACTAGCCACGGTGAATTCCATAGCATTACAGTTAAAGTCTTTCACTGTCTATTCAACAGAGGTTTTAGTAGCTTGTCTTGGGGTAAAAATGAGATCATGCACTGTTTATTTGTTATACACAGGAGGTGTTTTTCTCTCTGCCTGAGCTTCTGTTCAGTCCAATATTCTCTCTATATATACAGCCCTCCCTCCCACCCCCAATAGCGTTTTAATACTACTAGCTGTTGAATTTAAGACTGGCCTCCAGGAGAAAAAAAATTATTTATATGATCTGTTTGATGACAATATTTAAGTAAAAAAGTAAATGAGTAATGTAGCTTTTTGAAATTCAACCCAAATAATATTAGTGATGTAGTTTGATTGTTGCTACATTCATATCTAAAATACAAGATTATCTTAGAAATCTGATCATTACAAATGACTTTTAAGCTGCATAACTATTTATTTCAAAGCTGATCTGAGTAGGTTTAAAAGGCTATAAACTGCAGAGAAGTAAGCAGCCGCCTCCAAAAAGAATTTGTAATTACCAGATCATCATAGTATTGAGTTGAAATTTCATCAAAATTAAAGCTAAAATATTCAAATACATTTTAAAATATAAAGGCTTAAGGAAGAGACATTCATGATGAAAACATAAAACTGAATTTGTGGCTATTACAATAAATTAGAAATGCTGAATCACACCGCAATAAATGTATCACTGAGAGTACAAGTGGAATCTTAGGTGGTTTCAATTTTTTTTTTAATACATATATGATGTCAGTTCATCCTTTTCCAGTCTGGTAAAAATATGTGCACATTTTGGAAAAAGCAGAAAGTTCCTTTTAGTATCAAGGATTCCAAGACTATTTTTGCATTAGTGCTAATGGTTTCGGTTGAACTTAAATAAGACCTGTTTAACAATCCACATCTTGTTGGTTTCCTAGAAGGTAAAGGAGAGCAGATTTTGTCACTTCAAAATATGTCTCTTTGGCATATTGCTTATTCTAAACTGATCATTTTTTAAGAAACACAAGACACTGGTGAAGCTCTGAGAACCAAGAAGTTACTCTTTTTTTTTTTTGATACTCTTTTGTAAGCGAAATTTACATTGATAAGGAAAATATAAGGGTGTCTTGCTCACTGTAACTGGAAGAGGAGGTTGACTTGCTATCTAGGAACTCTTATCACAGGAAGGCAAGGACTTAAATCTGCATAACAACATTATCCTTATTTACTGTGTTTTCCTGGTAACCTCCCATAACTGACTCCCCACCTGCAACATCTTTTGTCTTTAGATGAAATCAGTATTAAAGGTGATGGATTTGGCCATTTTGGAGAGTATCTCAGTTTCCTGAGTCTTTCCCATGTATGT